TTGGGACCTCTCATGGTTTTAGCATCCCAGAGTCACCAAACCATGAGAGGTCCCAATGTTGTGGGTATGTGGAAACCCAAAACAGTGGGTCCTTTGGACCCGTAGAGACCAAAATATTGAGGCCTCTGATATTGAAGCCTCTGAACAATCGTGCTTTCCCATAGTCCCGAAACTATAGGGTCGCAATGTGTCGGGCTTTCGGTGTGCAACGCCATACTCTCCAAGCTGCTATTTCAAGCTCGTATACTAATAAGGGTACTTGATAAAAACCCCATACAGGGATCTACCTTCTGGATCCTCCCGGTGGTCTGGGTTGTTATACTGGTTTCTTGGTACACTGGTATGCGAGAATATACGAATTCAAAACCATACTAATTTTGACTAAGCATATATTAATGCTACAACTAATATCAAAACTAAGACTAAGACTCATACCAATACGAATACTAACACCAACACCAACACGATTATTAATTAGCAGCAACATTAATACGAATGGTAACACTGATACTGACAGTGCCACTGGCACCAACACTAACACTCACACTAACGAACACGAACACCAATGTTAATACTAATACTAGTATTAACATTAGTACTCGTACTAATACTGACTCAAATCGCTTGCTCGGTCGGTCTGTCTGCAGGTCTGTCGGTTTGTCTGCTCCTGTGTGAATCTGTCTGCCGATCCATCTGTATCCATATCTCTATCTCTAACCCTCTAACTCTATCCGATCCCTATCCCAATCCTAATCCCTATCTCTATCTCGGTGTCTATCTCTCTATCTATCCATCTACCGGTCTGTCTGTCATGGCCTTCTATCTGTCTGTCTGTCTGTCGAACTGTCATTACCTGTCTATCTGTCGGCCTGTCGGTCTAAAAATCAATCTATCTATCTTTCAGCCTGCCTATCTTCCTACATCTGCCTGTCTCTGTCTATCTATCTAGTAGTTATCTATCTGCCTGTCTCCCTAGCTATCTCGTTCTTTCTTTCCGCCGGCCTAGGTGTCGCGCACGACCAACAGTCACTCGGCCCACCCGACCACCTTTTATTGTATCATTTTGCGCTTCCTCCAAAAAAACAATAAAGTCAAACGTGGTCGGATGGGCCAAGTGCCTGTTGGTCATGCGCGACACCTAGGCCGGCCGAAAGACAGAAAGAGATAAAGTGGTCGGCTTGTGGGGGTCCCAATGGCTACGGCGGCGACTACCTCACTCTCTTCTCCGTCCGTTTCTGTCACAACCTATAGAAGGCCTTCCAAGCGGCAACACACAACGTCGGAGCATCCTTTGACCCAAGTCCGAAAGTCTACAACCTCAAACTCACAATTTCTTTGCACTAACTGCTAGCAATCTACGGCCCTTAACGGGAAACTCTAAGTATTGTAACCTCAAGTGCCGCACCGAAGCCCTCAGTGACTCGGCCCCAATACCTTAAATTTCCTAAACCAGAAACACATGGTCCCAAATCCGAAACAATTGGCCCCAAAGCCTAAAATCCAAGACCCGAAAAATCTTGGCCCCGACGCCTAAAGTCCCAAACTAGACAACCGACGACCAGATGTCCTGTTTGACAACACTGGTCGCATCGAGGTGGCTGGTCGTCGTCGACAGCGTACTCGCAGCCGCTGTCTGTGGGATCCCACACGCGAATCGTAAGTTGGACGGTGTCCTGCAGGGGTTCGGGGTTTGGAGTGTAGGACTCAGGGAACATCGGGATGAGGGTCGGGACGAAAAGACTAAGTTGGACCTACTGCGCTCTTGATTCTTGATATTACTGCAGCATTTGCTGCTGTTTTTCCTGTTCCTGCAACTTTGTCCGACCCTTTCTCCAACTACCACCGTGACCGATGATGATGACTGCTACTTCTACACGACTACCAGGACCCCTAGCCGCTCCTGTTGCTACATACACGAGATCCAGAAAGTATGATACCCGGAAAAATGCTGGCAAGTAGTCCGAGCCTGAATCCTTGGAGAAAGATGTCCCTTACTTTCTCAAGCTCCCGTAGTTAAGCTCCCGTATACCACCGCTGCGGGACGGTCTTCAGTTCTGTCAAAGGTCTCGTTGACAGTCTTGTCTGCTCCCCGAGCACTGGGCTTGGGGGTGGAAATCGTGCTCCCGCCGTGTTCCCGCGTTCAGTTTTGCCTTCAAGTGGCTCGTGGTCGCAAGAGGGATGGTAAAGCGACTTCTTAATGCAGCGAAGTTCGGAAGTGTGCTCAATCCGAAGTCCCGCGAGTATGTGGAGGGAACATGGTTCTTCCGCTACATATCGCGAGAATGGGGTTGTTTTGAAAGCATAACAATTAACAAGGGTGCTCACGAAATGGCTCTCGGGCATGCATGTATGTATGTATGTATGTGTGCATGTGTGTGTGTGTGTGTATGTGTAGCAGAAACCGTCTTAAAACCTGAACATAGCATAATGCGTGTGTATGTAAATATATATATATATATATATATATATATACATACATATGCATGCATGTATGCATACG